ATTTAATTGGTCATTTGCATTGGTATTGAATTTAAATAAACCGGATTTATAGCATGATTAATCTTGAATTTGAATGTTAAAATCCGAGTTTTATTGGTTGATTAAATGGACTTAGTCTTTGAAAAGCTAGTTCATTTTAATATTGTTAACTCTATCTTACTCATACTAAGCTTAAATTCTTATGGCATATACTTAAGATTCTTTACATCTCTTTATTGAAGGTGTAAAAGAGAAGAGAGCCATTTTGGAGGCTAGATGAGAAGAAGAGAACCGGTTGAAGATTGGAAGCTATGGCATGTCAAGAGGAGAAGCAAAGGCGATTGATCGCTTGACTCATTAAAGAAGATCAATTCATGGTGGTGGCCGAAAGGGGGAGTTCCTTAAGCGAGTTCATACACGGAGAATTGAAGTCTCAACAAGAAGTCAAAGCAAGAGCCAAGCAATCCGATTCATACCATGACCATAGCTACATCATTCAACCATGAAGACTACACTCTTTTTCCCTTAAGCAAAGTTTTATCCCAAGTGGTTTTCTTTGCTAAGGTTTTTAACGAGGTAGTTCTTTGTGTGTTGCAAGCTTGGTCCTTGGTCCCCGCCGATCAAGCTTGAGGGGGAGTGTTAAGAAGAAAAGGCTAACCCGAAGCCTAAGGCCGAAAGTCTACAAGACGAGGCCAAGTTGGTGTGGTTCAAGGAAGCATGACTTGACCACGCTCATAAATTCAAGCTTTAACCTTCGTCCCTTATGGTTAAAGCTTGAGGGGGAGTATTGAACCGAATGAGCACAAGCCATGGAGTTCATAAGAAGCTAAGGAGAGTCAAGGCCGAAGTTCTCATGACAAGGCCGAAGATCTCACCAAGACACGAAGGTGCAAGATTCGTGTAAAGTCACCAAGACGCCGAAGTGCAAAATTGGTGTAAACTCATAAGAAGAGTCAAGGCCGATGCTCTCAAGACGAGGCCGAAGACGAAACACCAATGTGCAAAATTGGTGTCAAAGTTATCAAGGTATCAAGACCCAATGTGCAAAATTAGTGTCAAAGTTATCATGACCTAATGTGCATAATTGGTGTCAAAAGTATCAAGACCGAGGATGCAAAATGGAGTCAACTCATGAAGATAAGAATGTGCAAAACTCGGATCACTTAGTGATAATCCATGTGCAAGATTGGTGTCAGTAAGTGAAGAAGATAAAGATGTGCAAAACTAGGGTCAATGAGCAAAGCGAAGAAGACCCTAGATTCAAATCGTTTAAAGCGCCAAAAAGGAGTCTCATGTGGATAAGGAAGCAAGCAACTTGCAAGGAGGACCACATGAGGAATATGAACGTTGGAGGAGCTGTCACCATCATCAAGGACGCTCCTCTCTCTCTCCTAAAGGAGAAAAAGCAACAAGTGGTCCCAAACTCTCTAAGCCACATCTTGTGGTCGTTTGAAATAGAGCCGTTGGGGCTATTTTGTTTTTAAGTGTATTTTGGTTTTAAGTGAGCAATTTGAATGCTCATAACCGTTGCACATTAGGGTTTAGAAAGGATACCTTATCCCATTCACCTTTGTATAAATATGTGGGCTAATGCCTTAATAAAGTTAAGCTCTCACAATTGAGAAACAAAAGCTCTCAATTTGGGATGTCTTCCCCTTATACAAAACGTTTCTTTACACACTCAAATGGGTAGATTAGGTTGATATTATTCTCATGGAGAGACCAAGTCTTGGCAATACTTGGTCTCTACCATTCTTTCAATCCAATTCTCTACCATTCTCTAAATCGTTTCTATAAGGGTATTTGGGTTTTGTTGGTATGAGAGAGCTGTTGCTTCTTATACTTATTCTTGAGTATACACAGTCCACATTGAAGTGTATAACTCCTATTTTACCTCAAGAACAGCTCACATTGAGTTAGTTTCTTGATGGATTTACACATGAACACACAAACCCGATTTTGGTGTTCTTGTGATTCTCTTTGAGTGAAGCATGAGCTGCTCACTCTTGATTTGTCCCAGGCTCATAACCTGGCCATATTCCGCATATATTCTAACAGTTGAGTTGTATAGCGCTGTTGGAACAGATTTCTACTGATAATTAAAGATCATCAAAGTGCAAATTACAAGAGTGTGTGTGTGGTACAAGCGATGATACAGACTGCACTGAAACAGAGGAAGATCACGTCTACAAGCTGAAGAAGGCATTATATGGATAGAAGGTTGATGTTGTCAAGTGCTTAATGACTATGGTTGGTTATGGTTGTTGTTGTACCTTCTGGTTGTTTTTATCTGCTTGTGCACTCAAGCAAGGGAGAATAGTGTGTCCTGGTGCACGGGACAATACTGTGATCAGGTCAGGGGGAGAATACAGTAACTTGGCCTTACATTGATTGCCCATGATGGACGAGAGTACTTGGAGCTTGAGTTGTCACACTTAGATAAAAAGGAGGAGATTGTAAGTACCTTCAGAACACAAAAGACTGATCTGTTATCAAGAGTATGTTGGATCAACAAGAGTCAGTCGAGCACAGAGGGGTGAACTATAACCAGGTGTCTGTTGGAGCAACAAGCACTTGTGGAGCACGGAGGAGTAACGTTTATGGAAAGCAGCAATCATGGAATAAAGATGACGTGACGAGCTGCTATTGGAGATATGATTTAATGGCGTATCTTTCAGGATATTGATAAATCAAGAAATAGAAGATTTGATGATATCTAGAATATGGAAACAAGATATTGACGAATCAAGAAATAGAAGATTCGGAGATATCTAGAATATGAAAACTAGGTCAGCCACGTGGTGTGGTTTGACCTATATAAGGCGGTCTAAGCGTTAGGCTTAGGTTGGCCGTTTTGCTCCACTTCTGTGAATCACAAGTGCTAAAGCGGAAAAGCTTGTTAGAGTTTATGGTGAGTGCACAGAGAGTGAATCACAGATGTTGCTGTGTTTGTGAGATTGGGTAGATTAAGAATTGGTCAGTGACGAGTCGTGTTGACTGCATGTAAAACTGATTAAACAGATCTGTAAGGATTGTTTAAGTGGTTTCTAATAAGCACTGAGGTTCGTCCCAATTGTGTCTACATTCTAGTATTTTCACTTCATTCTTCGGATCTGAGCGACAGCGACTCTGTTCTCGGTGGCTTGGTCACTCTCTCATCTCTCCTGCTTCATCCTTGTTTTAGAATGGTCTAATCATTGGTTTAGGCTGGATCTATGGATTTAAAGGTTTCTAATCTACGGGTTGTGGTACGGTCTTATCATGCAATCCGGTATTAGGTCCTTTATGGCCTCTTTTCTTTGATTTAGTTGTTTGCCCGGTTGACTTGTGCTCTTCGGAAATGTGTCTTGGTATTTGCTTGTGGTTCGTCTCTTTTTGCCCTTCCATGGTGTATATAGGCTGAGTTTTCTTTCGGTTTCCTCATTTTGCAAATCGCAGATGGTTCAGTTCACCCATTTATTTGGGTTTCCTCTGGTTTTGCTAGAAGTTTTGTTTGGTCGTCTTCATCTCACGGTCAGTAGGATCCTTTGTCAGGTTCTCTAAGTTTAATTAATTGTGATCTTGGACTGAAAGAGTTCAGCAAGTGCGTTCCATCATCCTTCGTGAAATTCTTTGTCAAGTGCCGCTATTCGATCTTCTTTACCTCACCAATTTCGTTGTTCTCATGTCTAGAGTTTAATTGGGATTAATCCATTTGAGGGTTTCCCTTGTTTTTGTAGATTATAATTATATTCGTTTTTCGTCTTAAGTTTCTCTCGTATTCCACCCTTGTATTTTACAATCGTATAATATAACAGAAAAATTCTAGATGAAAAAAAGGAAAGGAATTACCATTTTTTTGTGGAAAGGAATTGCCAACTCTTTTTTTTTATTACTTCACCAAAAATTGGTTCGTGAGATTCTAGTTTGAGATAACTGGGTCAGAGACGTTATTAGGAGAGCAAATTAGTTTTTTGGTAAACTGACAAACGGTCCATAACAACACTAATATTTAGCCCCTATTGTGCCCAATTTTAACCCTACTCGCTTCTGATATTTAGACTTTGAATCGGTCCATTGCGTGAGACAAATGAATTGATGTTTGTTATGGATGTCCAAATTATTCTATAAATCTATATATATATATCTTGCATGTTGTCTCCTCCGTCGATCAGATTGAATATCTAATAAATATTTTTTGTTACATGTATACAAATGTTAATAACGGTCTATATACATGTTTTTATGTATACAAATGTTAATAACGCTCCATGTACGTATTTATATGTATAGAAATGATAATAATGTTCCATGTACGTGTTTACATATATATAAATGCTAATATCGCTCTATACATATATATATTTACATGTACACATAGACCGCACTATTTACAACCATTATTATTTCTAACGCTTTATGTATATGTTTATCTGTATACAAATATCAAAATCGTGTAAAATATTCATTGGGTGTCAATGCAACTAGATTGGTTGTTTAAAAAATTAAAAAAAAAAACTATTTATTGAGCGTCAATACAACTATGTTAGTTGTCTATATTCAAATTTGATTTAGCTCAAATTAAAATATGTTGCATTTATTAACGATTACTTTGTTCTTTTTGTCTACACGACAATGTCAGTTCAACTGAAAGCATTTATTATTTGCAGATTCTTCCTTCGACTCTCTTAAGAGGCATCAACTTTCACCACGCGCATGCTCAAACGCAACTCTGGTATTTTCGTTATTAAATGGAACTTTAAACCTATTCATATTTTTTTTTTCAGCTTGTCTCTGACGATTTCTACTGTTTTTTACCTAATTTTCTCTCTCAATAACTAATTCACCCATTTAGTTTCATAACTCAAAAAATCATTTGTGCAGTCGCTGGGTGTCTTGTAAAAAAAAAAAGTAAGATTTTAAAGGAAGACAAAAAAAAAAAAAAACGGACAGGACTATTGCCGGTTCATAATTGAACCGGTTGCTCCAAAAAAATAGAAGGTAAAACCGGAACAGTAGATAACCGGAAACTGAAGAAACCCTAACTATATATATAAACTCATCATCCTCTTCCTCCATCTTCGTTTTTTTCTCATCTCCAAACACTCAAAGCTTGTAGCTTCTTGCTCCTCAAATCTTCTTGGTAACTCTTCTTTCCATGTCTCTGAATCGATTTCCTTTTGTTTAATTCAATTTCTGAGTAGTTTGATTTGGTTTTGGCTGTGTATTAAAAGCAGAAAATGAAGGTTGCCGCTGCTTTTCTCCTCGCTGTTTTGGGCGGAAACGCTAATCCTTGTGCTGAGAATATCAAAGATATTATCGGAGCTGGTAAGTTTTTGTGTTTTGAATGATTAGATTGTGTTACTGTGAATGTCTAAGTAGCAATTATGATTTGGGAAGATTCTGCATTTGCTTTGTTTTAGCAATGATTAGTGGATCTAGAGGTAAAGATTTGTTAGTGCTTATCAAAGTATTGTGATGTTTAATAGTAAGAGTTTCTGATCAAGAGAATATAATTTTGTTCATGTATATATGAGTCTTTGTTTTGTCATATATGATTTATGGGGTTTGTTGTGTTCTGTTGTGTTGTGAGATATGAATTCAATGGGTGTTGTGTTTTGTTTTGTAGTTGGTGCTGATGTTGATGGAGAAAGCATTGAGCTTCTTTTGAAAGAAGTGAGTGGTAAGGATATTGCTGAGCTGATTGCTTCTGGTAGGGAGAAGTTGGCGTCTGTGCCATCTGGTGGTGGTGGCGCTGTTTCAGCTGCTCTGTCAAGTGGTGGTGGTGGTGCTCCTGCAGCTGTGGAGAAGAAAGAAGCTAAGAAGGAAGAGAAAGAAGAGTCCGATGATGTAAGAGTTTGTTTCTTGTTTTAGCATTTTGGTTTCCTTCTTACTCTTTTGCTCATGAATATCTGACTCTGTTTGTTATATTCCTTTACTTTGATGCAGGACATGGGATTCAGTCTCTTCGAGTAAGATTTTCGTCCCACGGAAATTAGTCGGAGATTTGATTTTTTGTTCTCTTAGTGGATCTGGTTTTTGCTCCTCTCTTGTAGTTCGGTGTTATGAAAGATTCTTGGATTACGAATTTTACTCAGTTAATGAAGCAAGAAGAGTTTTTCTACTATCTTATGGGTTCTTACATTTAGGATTTTGAATATAAACCTCATGCAAAAGTTAATCTTTACGAAGGTTAAAAATGTATTTGGAATCCCAAATAAACAGAAAAATCAAGATCAAAGTGAAATTTAGATATTGTGATACTTCACTAAAGAAACTTGATAAATTAGAAGAAAGTAAATCAAACTCTACTAGAAGAAAATAATCGGAATTGAAGTAACATTAGAAGTTGCAATCTTTGTTCACTAAGCATTCGCATAAAGTTGTTTGACAAAAAAAAAATGATCACTAGTATCAAGAAGATGATGCCACCAACTTAATCTAATCTGCTCGGGCACAACAAACATATCCCACAGTTCGATCCATCTCTACCAACTTCCCATCACATAACCAATCATGGTTCATGGGGTATGGATCAGCAACGATTGTTCACTATCTTTGAGACAACAGCAAAGATGCTAAGATTTCGGAACAGTGACATTAAGTATCTTAACATCTTGGTAAGGTCTGTCGTTCTTGTCTGTCTTCACTTTCTCTATACCCTGTTTATTTGATTTTATGGTTAGACACAGAGTCACATTAAGCCAACAAGTAAAAAAAAAAAAATTTGGTTTTCAAATCATACTTGCACGACGTCCATTCCCTTCACAACTCTTCCAAAAACAGTGTGCTTATTGTCTAGCCACGGCGTAGCCACCGTTGTGATAAAGAATTGAGACCCATTTGTGTTTGGGCCAGCATTTGCCATAGACAATGTGAACGGCCTGTCATGCCGTAGACTGCAGGCCAAAAAGAAACATAACACAAACTAAGTTACATTTCATTCGTTTCTAAAGGATGGCTAAACTCAAAGCAGGCGTGGCACTAAGAAATGTTTACCTTTTGTGAAACTCGTCTTCAAATTCTCTGCCCCAAATTGACTGTCCTCCAGTACCATCCCCAAGAGGATCTCCAGTCTGTATCATAAATCCTCTGATAACCCGATGGAAAAGGTGGTTATCGTAATAGCCATTTCTACAGTGTGTTGTGAAATTCTCCACAGTTTTGGGACATTCTTCTGGGTAAAGCTTCATGTGAATGTCGCCCAACGTAGTATGCATGATCTGGATAATTAGGAGTTAAAAGAATTATTGTGTTAAAGATTCAAATTACAGACTATGTAATGATTTATAAAATAGATGCAAATATAGTGGGTTATGAAAACATACCACGTTCTCCGGAAGAGATGTTGTGGCTGAGTTTCCAATATCAGAGGCAGCCATAAGTTCATCAGCAGCAGGCTTCTCGTTGAACACATCTCTCCCTTGGCTTGCATCTTCAGGTTCTTCTGGCTCTCTCCGACTGCAGAAACCAATTTATTGATAATAAAATTCAAAGTGGGTCTTGGCAATATCAAGGTATCTCTAGGGATATCTAGAGAAAACATAAGAGGCCTTTCTACAAAGTAGAATCTAAAGATGTGAAAACAGATTCTCTCCCCGGCAACATAAACATGAGTCATTTTAGCACGATATGAGTCATGTACCTGAACATATAGATCCTGTGTTTCTTGAAGGCACAGCATAGGATAGTCGGATCAGTCAAAGGCTCTTTGCTTTCATTTACATTTGCTGCGGCTGCTGGAATCTTTCTAACTTTCTTGCCTCCTTGATCACCTTGATATAATGCAACTCTCAGATACCTTTCATTACTCTCCACCTTTCCAAGGATCCTTGCAACTGTGTTGGTGTGTAAATTTATTATCTAGAGAACAAAAGGGTTAACAGAGAAATTAGCAGTTGCTTGTTATGATTCCATTTACTACGCATGGAAGAGTTCTGAAACAATCAAACTATAGAAACTGGTTCGCTTTTACATAATGATATTATGATATTCTGGAAATACATAGATATTGAGGGATTGTGATAATGGAGCTCCTCCCACTCCCCCTTAGACACCCAAATTTACGATAAAATCCTAAGCTTCTTTCCTCTTCATACACTATATTGGCAGAGAGCATAACCACTTTAATATATGGTACAAAGAAGTAACCACATTAAATCTTGGTTACTTTATCACCTAAGTAAAGGCTAGCCAGTGGTGAAAGGCCCAGGTCTTTAAGCTCGTTAATTGTCTCATGTGTATGTGAGACAGGATACTTATCATGTCTAGACTGAAATGCTAGTCTATGGTAATTTAAACAGAAAACAATAATAAGTGGATCCCTTACTTTTATTCCAAGAAGAGTGGCGTATATAAGGAAATTAGAGCTTTCATCAAACACAGCATTGGGCTGCGGAGCATTCTCGGTTTTTTCAAGTTCCTTCTCAACTGCCATTCTTCTACCAAAGTCAATAGCTTCAAGCCTGTATAATGGAGCATCACTCCTCTGCAGATCTTGGGCCACCTAATAGTGGAATGGATCATTAAATCATGAAAGATTAATGTGAAAACATGTAAGGAAAGAAGCATAGAATATGTAACCTTACCTCAAGTGACTCATCATATACCCGCCTAAGTTTACCAGTTCTAAACCAGAACACGCGAATCCTACGATCAGGAGATGTAATGGAAAACTGTCTACCATCTGGACTCACCTGAAATTAATTTCACTAAATTTATAGACCAAAACTTGCACTATGATTTTCACCGGACATATCAATTGCTAATAGCTGCATTCTAAGCATGGAAAGAAAAACCAAAGATACTAAATGTCACATAAGTACCTCAATGGCAGAGATTGTTGTTTTGCACTTTATAATCTCAAAGAGATTTGTATCACTCTTCAGTTTAAAGTTTACCCTACAACAAAAAGTAAAAGGTCAACCTGTGAACCATAAATGAAAGCAGCCCATCAACTACACTCAGATTCTAAAGATGTTCAAATAAGAAGTTGGCAACTAAAGTATTTCTACTACAGGCTCCTCTTTGCATCATTCTCAGTAATATGATATTAAACTACAATAGCCACACACAGAAAAACAGGTACGCTCCTCTTACCCTAGAGGCTACAAGCCTACAACTAATACTCTAATAGAAAACAAACAGCAATACCGAAATGGAAATAATAAAAGCGTTTTTGATAAGAAGTGAGACAAGTACATACTGATCCTCGGGAAACTGCAATGTAGCTGGACTCCAGTACTCAATGATTCCTTTTGTGTCACCAGAGATCATTGTGTCCGAAACAGGATTGTACTTCATGATCTTAATTGGATTCATATGTATCTGGGCATACAAAGATTAAAACACCGTTTTAGCTTTGTAAAATATGACGAGTCAAGAAATAGCAACAAAGAAAAACAGATGAACACAAACCTCTTTTGAAGCAATGGGTTCGTTGGAACCAGAACGGGGATCATAAATGTGCACAAACGAAGAGTCTCGGTCACTGACAGCAAGTTTAGCTTTGACATCTCCTTGTTTGTAGACCCACTCAACAGCACCAGGAATATACGGCAAACGGATCATGGCCATCATGTCGTAGTTGACAACATCATATATTTTAACAGCATGATCATTTGAGATTGTACAGCAAAGCAAACCATCAATGCTAACCTGCATTGCTGAAACGGGTCATGGTTGATAACAGAACTAGAAACAAACACAAAAATTGCGGAAACAATAACATATCTAACAATAATTTCCCCACACATCGAACAATCTTCATTCAATAAATAAAGAAAAGGCTAATCTTTCAAACATGGAGGAGCATATGCCTGGATTTGAGGTGACAGTATCTTAAATCCAAAAAAAAAGAGTTCACATTAAAAATCACTGGCGATACTTACCGCCAGACCTTCAATTGGACCGAGATGGGAGCGGAAATGCTTAGCAAACTCGATACCTACACCCTTTTTCTTCCAAAATTTCAAGTGACCTAGGTTATGAAAAATAATATATATGTTATGCTTCGACATTACAAAACCAGAACGAAATCATAAATATCACAAAGATGAGAAACATTACCATCCATGCTTCCACTGATAAAGAAATCAGCTGCTGAAACAGCAACATGTGTAACTACATCCCGATGCATATAACTTTTCTCATACCTAGAGAAAAAGATACAAGAGTTCACTTTTCCAGACCAATTCACAGATAATAAGCTCACAAATTCCAACAAAAATACTAAACCAATAAGCTCAAGTTGAAGCAGTAGGTTATGGAGAAGAAGTACCAATTCTTTGAACGTAAAACCCTAAACCCCAAAAACTTGATTAATGAGGAACAGAGAAAGTTCCAAAGGCACAAGAAATACTTACATATTAGCAGAAGGAAGCGAATCAAGATAAGCTTGCTCGAATTGAAGCGGACGCTTGCGTTTGCCTCGTGGAGCTGGTCCAGGTCCGACCATCGCCTCCTCCTCTTCCACTTCAAGCGGCACTGCAACCACCGCCAATTCTTCAGTCGGAATCGTGGTTCCACCATTCTTCGATTCTTCCTCCATTGATTTCTACTCTCTTCCTCAACTCAAAAACCTCGTCGTCGATTGAAAGCAAGGTTGCTACAACTTCGAATTTTGAGAGAGAGACAGTGAGTGAAATAAAAAAAAAAGAGAGAAGAGAAGTAGATTCATGAACTAAATATAACGATTGGGCCTTTAAGGCCCATATATATTTATGAACCTAGCCCAATTGGGTATTTGCAAAACTTTGAGCTCCTAATTCATTCAACTCCGGTTTATATAGACCATGTCTGATGTCCGTCTCCATCTTTTCTGTTTACCGTTATCTCACTTGTAGCTTCCTTGTATTATATATTCATTGCCAATTCGTTTAAGACAAGACAAAAAAAAAAAAACCATGAAACTTGTGTTTAGTTTCGCATTGGTGAGCTGATTTTTCCTTTGACACTAGTTTCTTGTTGGATCTTTGATGCCGCCCTTTGATCGATTCTTGGTTGAATTTTTGTTTTTTGTTGTTGTTTATTGTAGAGTGTAGACTCAAGAAGTACCCCGAGGTACATAAACAAACTTCAGAATGTATTGGAGCTCTTATTACAGATTCATGAAGTTTCTTTATAGAT